CTGGCGCCATGGTCTGTGTGTGTGTGTGTGTGTGTGTGTGTGTGTGTGTGTGGGAGGGGAGCGAGGGAGGTAGGAGGTGTTTTAGGGACACGAGCGGGATGACAGGATGTTCCTGCGTGACATGCTGCAAGTAACCAGTGTGTATGCGTGTGATGAGAGGACGGGAGGGGCGGCCACATCTGGACACACAGCTGGTTAATGCAGCTACGCGTGTGGCCGAGCACACACACACAGAGCCGGAATAAGCGGCACAAACGTGAAAGCCTACATCTGTCCAGCCCTAATTTTGATGCATGATGGGATTGAGTCTCATACGCAAACAACAGGTTTAAATCGAACGGGTTCGAAAATATCCGATTGGGACGTACTCAAACCTTAAACTACAAGTGTGGATTTTAAAGAACTCAATACTTTTATTCAGAAAGGATGCATTCAATTGATCAAAAGTGACCATAAAGTTATTTTAAATAGTAATAATATTTTACAATATTACTGTTTTTACTGTATTTTTGATCAAATAAATGCAGGTCAGATTTCTTTGAAAAACATTTAAAAAGTCAGAATAAACATCTTTTCGGCCCTAATTTTGAAGCAAGTTGGGATCGCGCCACATACATGCACAACAGGTTTAAACTAAACGGGTCCTAAAACATCTGATCGAGGCATTCCCAAACTATAGCACAGTCTAGTCTTAACTGGGTACTGATTGGACGATCGCAAGGACGGACTGACATTCAGAGGAGAGGATCTGCAGAGACTGATGAGGGGTCATGGAGTGCTCTTCAACTCACACACACTCACACACCTACCTATGCATACACATATACACACACACACACACCCACCCTGGAGGAGAGCTTGTTTTAGCCCGGTTGAGTGTGTCGTCCTAATGAGGGTCAGTAAGGACAGGCAATATACAGGACACTTGCTAGAGGACAACAGACAGCGAACAGGAAGAACCTTGTGTGGTGTTGTAACATCTATCTATTTAGGCTTTTAGTCTTTTTTTTAACCTTTAGTGTTGCTTTTTTCCTTTAATTTTCTCACATGGTTTTTCTGAAAGAGACTGTTCACTCAAAAACTGAAAAATGACCATTTCCTAAGCCTAATGTCATTCCAAACCTGTATGGACCTTTCTTTCTTCAGTGCCTTCACAGTAAAATTTTGAAGAACGCAATGATTTTCTGTGCAGTTACAGTGAATGTGGAGTGGAGACAAAAGAAAGTCAGTCATACTGGTTTGGATCAACATGAGGGCGAGTAAATGACAAGTTTCAAATATTCGTTTTGTTTTTTAAGCAATAACTGGCTCCCTTCTTTCTATAAATCAGCATATATCAGTAGGTTGACCTAAATCAATCTGAGTTATCAAAAACGTCCTGTTTTAAATCCAGATCGGGCTCTTTCCTGTGCCCTGCCACCATTTGCAGTTTTTTTTTTCGCTGAGGTGCATTAGCTCAGTGTTAAGTGCTCCGTGCTGAAAGCTGTGAGGCACAGAACAGGGCAGCTGGAAGAAAGAAACCCATTACAGACTTCTAAACTCAGGCCATTATGGTGCCTGCTGTTCAGATTATCTACCAAATCGGTCAAGCCTGGCCAGTTCATTTAAACACACTTTCGCCCCAACTATCCACACTGGCACGTCACCGCATGAATGTGTGTGCAAACATATATCCTCATGCCAAGTTTAATACAGTTAATAAAAAATACAAAATATGCATAATATATATATATATATATACATAATTAAAAGAAAAAAAAACAGAGTTATAATATAATATAATATAATATAAAACATACACTACGGTTAAAAAATTTATATCAGTACATTTTTTTAGGAAATAATACTTTTATTCAACAAGGACACATTAAAATGATCAAAATGTTATAAGTCAGTTATAATTATAATGTTACAATATATAATTAAATATACAAAACAAAAAAAAACATTTTTTTTAATTACAATAATCTTGCGTTTTTGTCTCTGTGTGTGTTTAAAAACCATCGTAATATCACAAAGTCCATTTAAATTCTTCACGGTTTGGATTAAACAAGAAAATGGTGTGACACTTACATTTCTGTTTAAGCTAACAGCCTCCTTTCCAAAGTTGACCATTTCCTATTCCTTTTTATTACCCCCTATTGCTTTTCCAGTTGAACTCATTGCTATAATGTATATATTACTCGGCTTAATTTGTGGTAAAAATGACAGAGAAAGGCTTCTTTAAGTAGGACAGCGAGCAAGTGCTATTCATCATAATCGGCCTCGCACTCACACGCACAGCTTGACTCCCATTTATCATTCCATCGGCTGATTATTTGCATATTAATCAGCCACTGGAGCATGATGGTGCGCTCGGCAGCCAGTCACAGAGGAGGAGAGGCGGGTAATTATCATATATCCCGGCGCTGATGGGCTAATTGATTACAACAGCTCAAGGAGGCCCTTGAAAGAGCCCAGGGGGGCTTTTCTGGATGGCCCCTGTGAGACAAACCCCCCTCCGCATTCACGCTGCACCGATTTAACCCAACCCCCCGATGCCTTTCCTTGAAATCCAGGTCAATGGAAATATAAAAAAAATTGATGACTGCTAGTAAACGGCATAACAGGGTTTAAAAAGGCCTTGAACTGCAAAATAATAATTAGATTTATACATCCATAACTCACAGTTTAAGATATTCACATTTCATAGTACAAACAATGCGGGAAAAATAACACACTTAAGTGTGATACTTAGGTTTAGGGGCTTGTTCAAATTCTTAACCCCAAGTATGACCGCTAATAATTACATAGCGCTTTAATAAACATCTGAGATCGATCACCAGAACGCGGTTGTCCTAGGATAATGATTGCACATTAAAAGTGGGTCAATAGTATGATCCTGTATCCATTTAGTCATGAGTAATTTAAATTCTCCCACCGCAAGGCCGAGCGAGGTACAGCTGGCTGAACTACTGAAGAATTACACTGAGATTTGGTTTGCCCTCGGTTATTTATTCAAGCCAGGCTAAAACCAGTATCAGTCAGACCATTAAAGGAATGCAGCCGTTAGCATTTTCAGGAAATGCTGGTTTTCTTCACTTTTTTTAAACGGCATCTCAGAGCGCACTATATTAATCAGACAGATATTATAAGCCATCCATTCAAGTCAGAATTCTTTGAACTATCTGAAAGTCAGATAGTTTCTCTATCCAGAATTGACTGGAGTGTCAAAAATGGGTGATCTTAACATTAGAGACCAGGCAGCTTGCTTCTTTCCTGTGATATTTCAGTGTTAGATATTCAAGAGAAATCAAATTTTGGCGAAGAGAAGCGGATGTGATTGGAGAGTTCTGCATTCGCCCATGCCAAATGATAAGAAAGCCGAATGAATGGTGGCTTTGATGGCAGCTCAGGATGTGAGGAGTGAAACCGAGAAACCAAAGCCACATCAGAAACGAGAAGCTCTTTCACATCCTTCTTGAGCCACTGTGCACGTTTCTCTGTATAGATAAAACTACAGTGACGTCTACATAGGAGTATGTGTGATGGTAAACAGTATCGGGGTGTTACCTTGTGTCTGTCCAGGCATTGGCAACAGTGCCTGGCCCAGCTCTCCGTTCAGCCATAACTGCATGCGTATAAACGGCTCTCTTCCTTTCTGCGTGAGCTTGCTCCAGTGCTTCGGCCGAGAGAGCATGTCGCTTACGCTCCCCTGAGAGAGGCCCAGCACCTGCAATCCACACACACAGGAGATATGGTACATCAGATTCAGAGAAAAACAGCCCTGAAACAAATATGAAGCTATTTCATGATGCAATAAGAAGAAAGATGCAGCTGGTATTACAAACTCATACATTTGCATGGAGTATAAAAATGAAACCAACACACACTCGCTCATATCTTTTCTTAGGAGAACCACGGGTGGGTAATCGATGGAAGCGTTTCTGATGTGAAAAGCACTGACCTTCTCGCCAAAGATCCGCTGGCAGATGCCATTCTTGGCTAGTTTGTCTTTGACCTGCTGTGTGAGATCGACAGTGTCCACTTCCTGGTACATGTAGTACTCGTACTGCTCAGGTGTGAGCGGGGGCACCACGGGTTTGGCGACTTTGGGGAAAGACAGTAAAGGCGAGGAGGAAGGCAGTGGGCTGCTCTGAGGCGTCTCGCTGCCGCTGGGCATCTGCAGACTCAGCTCTGAGCTCTGGGAGTATGGGGACTCTGAGCTGGGCCAGTCTTTCCAGTAATCCAGAGAGGAAGCAGGAGCCACGGGCGCAGTGCTGCCCAGCCGAGGGAGCTTCTGGTGGGGGCAAAGAGTAATATAGTTGGGGTTAGCCATATAAGGAAACTTAAGGAGGAGGAAGTGGGCTATTCTAGGGTGTGACTTTTGAAGAAAAATGCGATATGCGATACCTTGTTAAATAATGCAATAATTGATATGCAATACGATATAAGTGTGTGAAATCAATTTAGATTATATATATAAAAAATGAAAATATATAGCCAATATATGTTTCGCGTTATTTCTTGGAAAATAAATCATCATCACTACAACTTCTGAAAGTGAACCACAGTGTTTTAGCATTACATAAAAATTAATGTCACAAATCTGTAAATGTAATTTTAACATCAATGTAAAAAATAAATAATAATAATAATGCCAATATCTAAATACCAAAAACTCTTTGCTCAGCTTGGTAATATATAGTTATATTAACCTAAATCTTAACATCAAGAACATCCAGGTAAACAAAAACACCTGAAACTAGGTGTGGACAATTAGTTAATTTAGATATTTTAATTTAATAAGAACTACAAACAATTGGACAAATACAATAAAACAAAGATACAAATGAAATAAACAGTGCTTTGAGTCTTTCAGGTAGGCCTACATTAGATATATTTATTCAAGTAAGAAACAATACAGAAACGGAATAATCAAATGTAAAACTAAAACACTGCATAGTCTTCACATGAATTAAATATACACTGATTCATTATAAAGCTACAAAGTTTATTCAGTCAAGTCTTTTTCTTTTGTTGTTTGACAGACAGTTGCAGGTTTACTGTCTTAGACGGGTCTTTATAACTGAAAACTCTACAATTATATTTAGAAAGAGGGTCAGTTGTTAGGGATATAGACTTGTGGAGATAATTTAAGGGTTAATACTGTGGGTATATGGGGGTACGTGGCATCAAAAAGTTATTAACAATACACTGTACCTCCTTGCTATCCTCTTGGCTGTGGGCGTCTTCGCTAACAGAGGGCTGCCCGGTTCTGCGACGCTCAGAGAGACCTGTGCTCCACCAGTGCTCCCTCCAAGAACCCCCACCTAAACCTCCTCCACTCTCAGAGAGACGTCCGAGCTTGTGCACTCCGTCCACCCCCACATCTGAGACGGCCACCTCACCTATCTCCTTCTTCACCCCACTGTGGAAGTCCAAGAGAGGAGAGGTGGAGGGCTTCTTCAGAGACTGAGCAATAGGGGTGTAGGGGAGGCTGGAGAGCGGGGAGCCCAGGAGCGACAGATCGGTCGGGGCCATAGAGCTGGCCTTCAGTACGGGCTCCAGAGCCACCTGCTGGGCCTCCATCTCCCTCCGAGCCTGCTCAAGGATGGAACGAATGTTCTCGTCGGAGTTGCTGGAGGAGGACGGAGTCTGAGAACTCTCAACTGCAGGAACAGAAGAGAACAAGTAAGTGGTCACAATCTGTTTCACCTATACACCACCATATTATTGCTCAAAAAAGAGGAACTTAAAGTAATAGCTTACACAAAAATAAAAACTCTGGCATTATTTACATAATCCTCATGTTTTCCAAACCCTTTCCAAACTTTCTTCAGTGGAACATTGAAGAATGTTGTAACAGAAGTTATGACAATAAAAAGATACAGTGACCACAAGCGGCCAAGCTTCAAAAAGGACAAAAGAGTACAACAAATATACTAAATTTTGGTATTTTTGCACAAATTTGTTGTAAAGCCTCCTGTTATGATACTCTTAAGGTGTTTTTCATTATTTTTGGACCTTAAGTTTTAGCCCCTAATTAGTATGGAAAAGAGCAGCATGAACATTCTCCAAAACATCATCTCTTGTGTTCCCAAGAAGATTGAAAGTCATACAGGTTTGGAAAAACATGAATGTGAGTAAATGATGACAGAATTTTTGTTTTGGATGAACTATTCCTTTAAAGGGTGCCAATAAGAGATTGCTGCCCTATGCTACTCAATAACATTTCAGAATAAATTTGGAGTTTAATTTGACATATATATCAATATTATATATTATAGTTTCTAATAATAAAGTTAAACAAAAATGTCTGTTTTCTGTGAGTTAGACCGTAAAAGATTTCTCAACACGTGTATATAGGGTTTTTATTGATGTATATATATATATATATATATATATATATATATATATATAAAAACATACATCGGTCATAAATCCCCATGACTCAGACTGATTTATGACAGTGAGAAGTTCATTGGAAGCAGTAGCGCTCTTGGCGTGGGGGGAAAATCTTGGGGGGAAAACTTTCAACAGACGGCACAAAACCTCACCAAGTCTTAGACTGTGTGCATATATTTGGAAATAGCTGCCCGACCCTCTGTGGTAACCTGATCGCCGTTGCCTCTCCCCCACACCGTCTGCAGTGGCAGGTGGGGAAGAGACAGTTAGTTTAATTCCGTTACACAAGCTTGCACAGGAAAAGGGAAAGGACTTTTGATCAACTTAATGCATTCTTGCTGAATAAAATATTAATTTCTTTCAACAACAACTTTTGAACAGTAGTGTACTATGTTAGTATGATGACACCACAATCAATTCTACAATAGAAAACTTGACTCATTTAGAAAAAGTGAATGAAAGAATGACTGTACAGGAAGTCCAATCCTACAGGAAGTGACATAACTGATTGTGGGGAAGTGGAAAACACATGTGAATGCCTTGATCCTTCCTTGATTACCTGATGACAGAAAAAGACTCACCTGCTTTCTGCACTTGTAACTCTCTCTTGGCCTGCTCCAAGATGGACTTGATGGCTTCATCGGAGCCGGTCTCAGGTGTGCGGATCCGTGTGGTGATGTTACCTGCGAAGACACAAGAAGGACATGTAGCTGTAAGTGACACGTCATGTGTAACAATCTGTTTGTTTTTAAATGGAGCACAATATACAATCTTTTAGACTGAAAATGGCAAAAATATTGCTATTTCTGCATGACAAAGCAAGAGTTTAAATAGATGCAAACGCAAGCTTATTCTAAACAACAAACTATCCGATATGCTAAAATAAGCCTGACACTTTTTTATTTCATGGAATTGCAATCCTGCGACCAAACTCACTGGCACAAAACTAAAAAACCATTAGCAATCGTTTGCTTGTCTATAATATTGTGTGTATCAGCACCTGCGCTGCCCGTGGCTACAGCTGCACTTCCTGTGCAAGGACTGAAACCTTTTCCTGTCCTCCACAACAAAGAGACGGTAAGATGTGGATAAAATCCATGAGAAACAACAGAGCTTGTGTGGAAGTATCATCAGACAGGCCGGTGCAATGATAATAAATATGGAAAGAGAGAGAGGGAAAGCGCCCAGCGAGCAGTGGGCAGCAGGGCAAGGTCAGAGTCACTGGTGTGTAAGGAGAGCAGCTGGACGTGTGTGTGAGGTGGAAGTAATGCTCTCTCGCCCTCTCTCTCTCTCTCACACACACTCTCTCACACACTCTCTCTCTCTCTCTCTCTCTCTCTCTCTCACAC